CAGAAAACCTTTTAATTCACGAGTATTTTCATTATGTTTATAGCAAACCGACCAAAGAGTGGCCAAAATTTATAGACAACAAAGCATTGGACACCAAATCCCAAGACTTAAATCCAACCAAATTAACCCATTATATCGATAACTTATTTAATACAACATGCGATGGCTTTTGGAAACATTACTATAATTAATATATAAATCACTGAATTCTTATAGAAAATTTCATAAATAAAAATAAAGTATCAAAATTTTATTTACTCGTTATATGAAAACTTATTATTTAAGTATTTAAGTATACTCATATTAATAAAATTTACGTAATGTGAATATGAACATAAAACTTTATTAAAATAATTTTATAATAATTGAGTATTTTTTATATGATGGACATTGAAAATTAAATTATAAAACAGTCTTTGAGAAACGGAATACCATGAAAAAATATAAAAATTATATTTTTGAATTATTTTTATACAATTTAATTTAGGAATAAATTACAATCTTACAATGGGGTGTCACTCGCTGTACAACTCTTATTAAATTAAAACCTACATGATTATATAGCTTCACCATGCTAAATTAAGAATATCGGGGTCCGATAATCTATGGGAAGGTGGTCTGGTCATAATCCAGTGGTCAAGTTTCTGATAATCGCACAATTTTCAAAGTTTTTATATGCATTATTCACTTTGTTACATTACTCATACTATAAAAGTTAGTCTTAGAAATAATGCATGAATTCACATCAAATGTCAATTGAGTTTGTATACGAATCTCGCAAACTTGACCACTGGATTATGACCAGACCACCTTCACATAGATTACCGGACCGCGATATTCTTAATTTAGCATGGTTAAGCTATATAATAATGTAGGTTTTAATTTAATAAGAGTTGTACAGCGAGTGACACCCAATAGTAAATGACTAATACCAGTGTACTAATACGGTATTAATAATACCGTTTAATTATATTTTTAAATAGATATAATAAACTGATTGAGCAATATTGTTTGATAGAGTATTAGTAATACCATATTACACCGAGTGAAATATTTACAGTATCATTTAGAAATATATAACTTTTTATATTTAGTCGATAAACTAGGGATTAATTTTAAGTGGTTCTCAATTGATTAGCTGTAACATACATTTGATACTTTCACTGTTGGTACGATTTGCACTAAATTTATTGACAATATAAATAGCTACAAAATGTTTATATTTTTTAATTGATCATTTTTCAATAAAATAAGTTATTTTGCTTTTTAATTTGACAAAATGTTTGTATATTTTCTACTATTAGTATTCATTGAATATAGTGTTTGTGTTGATGTGAACACAACATCGGGTGTAGTGAGAGGTCTGACAGTGAATGCATTGAACACAAGTGTCGACCAGTTTTTGAACATTCCTTACGCCGAACCCCCGGTCGGGAGCCTTAGGTTCGCTAAACCCGTAGCCCTTAAAGAGCCCATAAAAGTAAGAAAATAAAAAATAATCCCAAATATTATAATTGATTTGTTTTATAAATTAAGGAGATTATAGACGGAACAGAAACTGGGAACTCGTGCTATCAAACAGAAAATGAATTGTATAAAGACTTTATCGGAAATTTAACACTAAGTGAGGACTGTTTGGTACTAAACGTATGGACCCCTCACGTCAGAAGTGATAACTCGTCAAAAGACTCACCACTAAAACCAGTGATGTTTTGGATTCATGGCGGAGGTCTAGCAATTGGATCATCATTTCAATACCAATACAACGGCAGTGCACTGGCAGCTCATGATGTGGTGGTTGTGTCCATAAACTATAGATTAGCTCAGTTTGGGTTCCTATACGGTGGCGATGATAGGGCGCCAGGAAATCAAGGCTTTTATGACCAGTTATTAGCACTCAAATGGGTATAAATTTAATGTTATTTTGATTTGGTTTACTTTTATTAAAATAGTACTTAATTGTAGGTGAGAGCAAATATTTACAATTTTGGAGGGGATAGGGATCAGATCACTATATTTGGTGAGAGCGCCGGCAGTTGGTCTGTATCTGTACAGTTATTATCTCCCCTATCGAAAGGCCTGTTTAAGAGGGCTATTATGGAAAGTGGTGCCCATATGTTCAATAAGGACAGGGATATCAGAACTAAATCTGAAGTTTTAGGCGATGCCAAGAATTTAGCCAAACATTTCAATTGTAGTGAAAATGAATGGTTAGAGTGTTTGCAAAAAGTGGACGCAAACCACATAAAGGATGTTATACTGGCAACTACAGTGGCCACACTTGATACAGAATACCTCCCGGTGTCGGCACACACAGCATTTGAAACACTAAAATTCAACAAGGGTAAGTTACATTAATTAATTATTTTAATACAACATTAACGATATAATGATTGGACACAGATCTGGACCTAATGGCAGGTGTGGCCGCACACGAGGGCTCTATGTTATTGTATAGTGTATTACAACATATCCCACAAAACATAACTGAATCTGAATTTAAGAAATTAGCGCAAAGTTTTGACTCATTGTTTCACGACTTAAATGCCACCGCAATAACCGACTTTTATCTGGATAATGTCAATAAAACTGACCCTGAGCAAGTCAAATGGGCTCTCTATGATTTGTATGGAGATCTAATCATGACGTGCCCCACCTATCAATTTGCCAAAAACTATGCTACACACTCGGGCGCCGGTAGTGTGTATTTCTACGAGATTACTTATACAAGATCAAATAAACAAGATCCGCAATATGATGTTAGTCATGGGGCGGACCTGGACTTTGTGTTTGGTTTACCACAAATTTACCCTGATAAAAAAGATACAGACTTTGACAGGAAGTTTAGTCTTGAAGTAATGAAAATGTGGACAGATTTCGCTAAATATGGGTAAATATATGTAAAATAAATAACTGGAATTTTATTAAAATTTATATCCAGTACTAACACACTTTTTAAATCATAATTTATAACTTTTTTATTTTAATTAAACATTTTTATAGCAAACCGTCCAAAGAGTGGCCAAAATTTATAGACAACAAAGCATTGGATACTAAATCTCAAGACTTAAATCCAACCAAATTAACGCATATAATGGACAACATATTTCATACGACTTGCGATGGCTTTTGGAAACATTATTATAATTAATTAATAATGAAATTAATAACAATTTTGCATACATAAAAATAAAGTGTTAAAATTTAATTGAATGTGAAAACTTATTTTTTATTATGCTTATTAAAATTATTTTAAAACCATAGTACTGTTTAGCATAAGCCATAGTACAAAGTATAGCTCATACTTTACTGATTTATTGGGTTTTCATGACTAACTATGTTAGTCAGATTTCTCACTTAGATGAATTATATACAATTATTACACTATCTTATATAATTATTGTTATTTAATATGATATGAATTGATATAAAGTCCACTTAAAGTGCAATATGTTTAAACGATTTATACCTGTTTAATTAGATTATAAAATAGAGGTACTAAACTGATTGATTTCAATTGTTTGATAGGTATTACAGTATCATTTAGAAATACATAACCTTGTCCAATTTTGCACTAATTTTACACTAACCTTGCACTAATTTTATTGACAATATAAATAGTTACAAAATGTTTATATTTTTTGATTGATCATTTTTCAATAAAATTAGTTATTTTGCTTTTTAATTTGACAAAATGTTTGTATATTTACTACTATTAGTATTCATTGAATTCAGTGTTTGTGTTGATGTGAACACAACATCGGGTGTAGTGAGAGGTCTGACAGTGAATGCATTGAACACAAGTGTCGACCAGTTTTTGAACATTCCTTACGCCGAACCCCCGGTCGGGAGCCTTAGGTTCGCTAAACCCGTACCCCTTAAAGAGCCCATAAAAGTAAGAAAAGTCTGACAGTGAATGCATTGAACACAAGTGTCGACCAGTTTTTGAACATTCCTTACGCCGAACCCCCGGTCGGGAGCCTTAGGTTCGCTAAACGGCATGGGGAATTTCTCGGGTATTTTCATTCTTTATTAATAATTGGTTTTTGACAAATAATTAAAATAATATACAAAATTCCTCTAATATCTACCCTGGCTTTGACCCTTGAGTACAATAGTTGGTCAATCTGATATATTTAAAGACTTGATCGGAAATTTAACACTAAGTGAGGACTGTTTGGTACTAAACGTATGGACACCTCATGTCAGAAGTAATACTTCATTGAAAGACTCACCACTAAATCCAGTAATGTTTTGGATTCATGGCGGAGCCCTCTATCTCGGGTCATCATTTCAATACCAATACAACGGCAGTGCACTGGCAGCTCATGATGTGGTGGTTGTGTCCATGAACTATAGATTAGGACAGTTTGGGTTCCTATACGGTGGCGATGATAGGGCGCCTGGAAATCAGGGCTTTTATGACCAGTTATTAGCACTCAAATGGGTATAATTATATTATAATTATATGTTTAATCTATTTTAGTTTACAAAAAAATTTTTAAAAATTTAATTTATCCACAGGTGAGAGAGAATATTCATAAATTTGGTGGGGATAGGGATCAGATCACCATATTTGGTGAGAGCGCTGGTAGTTGGTCAGTATCGGCACAAATATTATCTCCCCTATCGAAAGGTCTGTTTAAGAGGGCTATTATGGAAAGTGGTGCCCATATGTTCAATAAGAACAGGGATATCAGGACTAAATCTGAGGTTTTAAGCGATGCCAAGAATTTGGCCAAACATTTCAATTGTAGTGAAAATGAATGGTTAGAGTGTTTGCAAAAAGTGGACGCAAACCACTTAATAGAGGCCACTGTTGTGGGAATCACTGTCGCCACACTCGACACTGAATACCTCCCAGTGTCCGCACATACAGCATTTGAAACACTAAAATTCAACAAGGGTAATTTAATAAATTAATTAAAAATTTTATTACATTAATCCTATTATGAATGGACACAGATCTGGACCTAATGGCAGGTGTGGCCGCACACGAGGGCTCTACGTTATTGCGTATGGTCGTGCAACATATCCCACAAAACATAACTGAATCTGATTTTAAGAAATTAGCGCAAAGTTTTGACTCATTTTTTCACGACTTAAATGCCACCGCAATCAGCGACTTTTATTTGGGAAATATCAATAAAACTGACCCTGAGCAGGTCAAATGGGCTCTCTATGATTTGTATGGAGATCTATTGATGGCGTGTCCAACCTATCAATTTGCCAAAAACTATGCTACACACTCGGGCGCCGGTAGTGTGTATTTCTATGAGATTACTTATACTAGGTCAAATAAACAAGATCCGCAATATGATGTTAGTCATGGGGCGGACCTGGACTTTGTGTTTGGTTTACCACAAATTTACCCTGATAAAAGAGATACAGATTTTGACAGGAAGTTTAGTCTTGAAGTTATGAAAATGTGGACAGATTTCGCTAAATATGGGTAAATATATGTGAATTAATTAACTGGAATTTTATTGAAATTTATATAAAAACATACATTTTAAATAATAATTTATAACTTTATTTAAACATTTTTATAGGAAACCGACCAAAGAGTGGCCAAAATTTATAGACAACAAAGCATTGGACACCAAATCCCAAGACTTAAATCCAACGAAATTAACGCATATAATAGACAACATATTTCATACGACTTGCGATGGCTTTTGGAAACATTATTATAATTAATTAATTAATAATAAGATTAATAGCAATTTTTGAATACATAAAAATAAAGTGTTAAAATTTAATTGAATGTGAAAACTTATTTTTGATTATGCTTATTAAAATTATTTTAAAACCATAGTAATGTTTAGCATAAGCCATAATACAAGGTATGACATACATACTTAACTGATTTATTGGGTTTTCATTCTATACTATGTTAGTTAGATTTTTCAATAAGATGAATTATATACAATTACTACACTATCTTATATAATTATTGTTGTATAATATGATATGAACTGGTATTAAGTCCACTTACAGTGCAATATGTTTCAACGACTTATACCTGTTTAATTAGATAATAAAATAGAGGTACAAAACTGATTGATCACAATTGTTTGATTGGTATTACAGTATCATCTAGAAATACATAACCTTGTCCAATTTGTACTAAATTTATTGACAGTATAAATAACTACAAAATGATTATATTTTTTAATTGATCATTTTTCAATAAAATAAGTTATTTTGCTTTTTAATTTGACAAAATGTTTGTATATTTACTACTATTAGTATTCATTGAATACAGTGTTTGTGTTGATGTGAACACAACATCGGGTGTAGTGAGAGGTCTGACAGTGAATGCATTGAACACAAGT